GAGTTACAATAGAGATAGTTGCAAACGAGAATGACTACCATTCACAATGACCTTGCAATTTGTGTTCGAGCGGAAAAGGCCGTACGTGATTACACATGACCTTCCTGTCGAGTGGCAGGATTGTAGGGCCGATCTGTGCAGGAAGGGTTTAGGGAAATGCGACATAGGCATAGACAACGTATCCCTGCAATTCCGACTCTTCAATCCAATTCAAGTCCTAAATGCGAAGGTTTTGTGGTTCCAGTTTGCCGATGTCATGGCTGGTGTAGTCCTTCCAACCAATCTCAGACAAGGGTTTGTAGCTGGTGAGGTGGTTCACCAAAATCAACGTTCCAAATTATATTTCCTGTTGCCCTGATAGAAAAGCCAAGATGAGTATGCATAGTCCGTACATCACACTTGACGCACCCAACTGCACAGACCAGCTTCTTCCGTTCCGCACTAGGCAGCACCGCACGTCTACGTCGTTCTGGGCACTGAATTTGAAGCTGGCGGTGAGAAACCCTTCGTTGAAATTGGGTTGGTCAGTCCGTGAGTAGCGCTTCTCTGGCAGCCTGAATGGTGATAAATCAGATATGAAGACCTCCCGTCGATGAGGGCTTACCATCTCAGCTCGTTGAACTGTCCGGACCATTGGATGTCGTGACCGTCGTCGTAATCTTGAGTCTGTTGTTGGTAAGCGTACAGACAAGTGAGAACGGATATAACAGACCCACCTCGACTTGAAACGTCGATGTCCTGCTTGTAATCTATGACAGCGATGGGGTGCACGAGTTTGCCCCCTCATGTTGGACACGTCATTCTGGTGAAACACTTCAAAAGGGTGTAGGCCGTTACATACGACGAACCCGCAATTCAAGCCGATCATGGGCGGCGAGTTGTACATCCCTTCTGAGGTGAAGATTTGTCGCGACTGATTAGCGAGAGTGTGAGAGTTAAAGTGGGGGACGATTCTCTTTATAGCTAGAATGATCAGCTTCGTACGAGGTAAAGAGCTCGAGAAGAACTCACAAGTAGTGCGTACAGAGTGAAGATGCTAATTTGTATGAGCGCCTGGCTGGCAGTGCCTAACACGTAACAAGTTGCAGCCACGGCTTATGGGAAGGGACAGCCTGCTTCATTCGCATATACTATCGATTCCACACTGGGCAGCAACCTACTATTCCCAATGTGTCTTGGAATACAGGAAAGGTGCTCGGTTTTGAACCTGGGCTCCCACAAACATTGTCACTTTAGAGAAGATGTCACCGAAGAGTGCATTGCTGGCGGCCTCGATGACGCACAACTTCACTTTTCGATTCATGGTTAAATCAAGAAGTTTCCGTAAAACCGTAAGACCTTACAGGACACCACTTTCACACTTGCCATTTGAACCAAGGGCCAACTTTGGTGAGGGAAGGATATGTCCCGCC